CAATGCGAGTTACGCCCAAAGAGTGTCCCTTTGGTCAGATCGACAACGCTTGGCTTCACGTTTGCAAGTTAAACGGGCAGAAACCGGCTGAAACTCCCACGCCAGACGCCGGGGACGTTTCCCTCCGCCCAGCTCAGAGCAGAACTGGGGACTGGGTCTGGGCAGGGGGAGGAAAGAAGGGCGGGAGGGGGAGTTGTCAGGGGGTGGCGCGGGAAGAGAGTCCGGATTCTAAGCCGCCATCTGGGGGGGGGGGGGGGGGGAGGCGGAGAGAGGACCATTTTCTCTAGTATATGCCTCTTGTTTTTATTTTTATTTTTTCATTTTGCTTTGTTGGCAGCTTTACCCAAACAAACAAAAAATAAATAAAATGAGAGCGTTTTCTCCTTGCCATCACCTAGGTAGCTGCTTTCCTCCAGTCCCTGAAAATGTGACTCCTTCATAAAAATCAAAATTTATGATTATTCAAATGTTGGGGACTGTGAAAAGAGAGGAAGAAAGAGAGAAAATTAATATTGCAGCTGTTCTTCTGATTAATGAGAGATAATTGCTCATGAAAAGTCACCCCTGTGGCATTTTGTTGTCTCCTGGATCTTTGTTCTTTTCCACTATTATTGAGGACTTTCTTGAAGACTAAGCGGTTCTTTTCAATTTTGGGGTATTCAGAAAGGGTTGCCTGGTTACAGAGAATGGGGAAATCTCGGGCTATATCGGGTAAGATGTGCCACAGACAGCAATATCACAATGCCACTCGGAGAAAAGGATGGATACAAGTTAACGATGCGCTTTCAATAAAACATTCATAGACTTGTTCACGCTTTGATAATGACCTCATTAAAGGGAGCTGGGGGCAAGTAAGTCCTGTCTCCTGTTTGTGTTCCGCTAACAAAACCCAGCTTTGAGATCATTCATCGCTTTGGAAACTAATATGAAATCAATGTAAGAGGAGCAAATAAATCCGAGGCCGGCCCCGCCAACTCCTGGGCTCTCCCGCCCAGCTCGCGGCCTCGGTTTGGAGCAGAAGAACCATGTAGGCAAATGCTAAAAATGAGAGGAAAAGGGAGGACCGGGGATGGGGGGGTGGAGTTTGGAGGGGGTGCAGAGGGAAAGGCAATGTGGGAGTTACAGGCACAAAAACAGCTAAGTACAGCAATAGGTCAGAACTCTAGGGCCCGTGGAATATGCTAAGTCCACATTCTTTGCTTTTCCTGACTTTGCCCATGAAAGGAAATAGAAAGAGTGAGAAGCAAGAGGGGAATGTGAGGTCCAGGTCAGGTGTGACCCTGGAAGGGGAAGTATGGGAAGACTTCTTGAAACTTACAACCAAGAACCTAAATCTTAAGGTTGAGCAAGGACGAACTGCTCATCCAGGCTCCAAGTTGGAGGGATCCAGGGGCAAGAAGACAGCACCCCTAAACTGCTTTGATTTCTTTTTTCTCATTTGAGGGTAGGGGTGGAGTGCCCTGACTGGTGTGTGTTAGGAGGAGCAGAGGGGGACAGTTTTGTTACCTTTATATTTGTGGCATTGTCTTGCACTCAAGGAAGACAAAGCCATCCTCTGTCACCCCAGCAAAAGAGAGGAAATCAAAGGATCTCCCCCTCCCGCCCCTTAAAAGAACTAATTTTCTCCTTGAATTATGAAAGTAATGGCTTAGGTAACAGCCTGTACTCTGTACCCGACTGCTTAATACCGAATAAATCCTTCCACGTGGCTCCCCGAGTCGTGGCAATTAGAGCTCATTATAGGCTCATAAGAGCTCTCATTTCAGGGATTACTTAATGGACGATGAAATTTTATCGGACAGAATCACTGAGAAATAAAATTGCGTGGCAGCGGGGGCACCATGGGGGCATGCTGACGGGCTGCTCAGAGGTCCCCTTCTGCTTTGAGCAGGTTCGAGGAGCTGCAGTCCTGGAGAAGGGTCTGGCGGGGCAGGCCAGCCACGTAGCTGCTCAGGGCCATCTAGGGTAGGCTTCCCTTGGGTGTGCGGGTGCTAAGGCACAGTGGGGCCAACTTTTGAAGATAGGGCTAGAGTAGAGAAATAGAAAGAGAGAAACTGAGAGATCCAAAGAGAATTAGTGGGAAGAATCTGAGAGCCTCCAATGTGCAACTTGACCCCAAAAGACGTGCTTTTGGTGAGCTCGAGCAATTTATTTTTTTGAGCAATTTACTTTTAAAAAAATGTTAAAGTTTTAATTTTCATTCCACTTAGTTAACATGTAATGGTATGTTAGTTCCTGGTGGACAATACAGTGACTCAGCACTGCTGTACATCATCCTGTGTTCGTCACGAAGGCTCAAGCAATTTCATCAAGTCCTCTTACAGGGACATTTCTCTGGGTCTGCTTTCAGCCCCAGTCTGGCCCCAGGCTACTGTACCCCTTGCAGCCCTAAGTAACCCCCTGGGCCTCTCACTGTTTGCAAAATTCCTTAGCACCACAACTGGACGTTTCCATACTTATTCAGAAGTTAAATTAGTTGTTCAAGCTTCATAATTAGGATTCTCGAACGGGAAACTGGTCCTCCTAGAAGCACACATTCCAGCACATCAACATAGGAGTTCTAGAGTGAGCATACCCAGAGCCACTGGGAACACAGTGACCCGAACTGTAAGTCCAAAACAAACCTCAGATAGCCTACTACCTAACCCACAAGAGGAGAAAGGAGAGGGAAAAGCTATTACTTTCTTTGAGCACTTGCAAAGTGAATAAATGCATACATATACATATGTACCATATACATTTTGAACGTATATATATGTATATATGTGCACATACAAATATACATACGCACACTTGCAAAGTGAATGGGAAACTCATGCCACCTATTTGGACCTTTAAGAAACACCCAGCCATTAAACATCTCTTAGTGGCTGAGTTTCCAGTGCACTTGGGGCTAGAATGATTTCCGGACTACCTGCGTCCTCCGGACTGGAGTGAGGGCGGGTGGGCCAGCAGTCGGGGTTGAGGCTGAGCGTCTGTGATGGCTGCATCGGCAAACCTTGTGGTACAAAAGCTGCCCTGAGTTAAGCCCTGAGACTCCTTAATTGTTGTCACAAGATGTTGGATTAGCACATTTCTGGAATAGCTGTCTGTTTACACTCTGGAGACCCACCGTCCACTAACCGCTTTCTAATTGAATTCTAATCACATTCAAATAGCTCAATAACCAGCCTCAGCTGCAATTCATAAAACTTTAATTGCCATCCATAAATCCTGGGCTCCCCAGAGCGGGGCGTCCATACAACCCAATTACACTTCTCTAGCAGGAAAGAGAACCGGTCCCAGAAATGAAAAAGGGGAGAGAAGAGACAGAGGACAGAGAGATGGCCATGCCTGCAGCTGCGGAGCTGTTGCTCCCCTGGGATTTGGGCACTTGGTTCTCACAGGTGGAGAGAGGGAGAGAGTCCTTTCTCCAACTTTCTTAACACTATTGTGAACTCAGGCCTGAAGTCAGCTGTTTTGGAAAAAGGATCAGACTGGTAGCTGTTGCTCGCACTCCCTGCTCCAACCAGATTTTCTCTGGGGGCGGGGGGGGGGGGAGAAGAAAGAGAGAAAGCTGTAACCTCTGCCTCCTCACCTTAGCCCCTATCTTGACAGCCACCTTCTGTCACACAGCCACTAATACACAAAGCTTCCAGTGGCGATGGTGCAGCCAGCTTTCCTTTACCCAGCCTCTTCTCCCATTCCTTGAGTGGCTCAAATCCCTTCAACCTCTTTCAGCTTTTAAAGGGGTGCACGGGGTGCAGGGGAGAGAGTTCTTCCTGGTTAGTAGGCAGCTGCCCAAGGTCAGGCTGTAAAATATAAAGGGACTGGAAATGGCGGGACCTGAGCAAAGGCCGTCCCCAAGCCCTGCCCAGTCTCCATGAGGGCTAGGGTTTGGCTCCTCTCTCCAAAATCATTGGGATGGAGTTTGCAGGGTTGTCCCGGAAAGACAGGGCTGGGAGAAAAAGGAGAGTGGCTCTTCAATGTCTCTCTCCGCCACAGGGTATGTTGCCGATTACAAAGGAGCACAAGGAAGTGTCGTTGATCTGCGCAGCCCCAGGAAAGCCCCAAGTGCAAAGGCATCTTACTTACAGCTTCTCAAGCATTAGAATGAAAAGCTCTGCAGCTTCTTAGCTGGGAGGTCTCACTCCTACACCCCGGATCCGTCACGAACTAACCACCTGAATGACTGCGACCAAGTCCAAATGCGGGGGGGGGGGGGGGGGGGGGG